TCAAATCATCAAGAACCAAAACCATAAATTTGGTAGGTAAAAAAATCCCTCCCATAATTCAAAAAAAAAAGCTGTCAATTTTATTTCTTATTTAACACAAAGTAATTTAAAATAAAAAAAAAAAATTATAAAAAATATTATAAAAAAAAACAATTTAAATACTAATCAAATATATTCCTTATTTAACGAACCTAATCAAATACTCACCCATATTATATTTAAGAATTTTCATATTATATAAATTATACATTAAGATTTTATACATACACTGAATAGTTAGATAAGTTTATTTCTCAAGACACGCAAATAAACATTTTAATATGCCTACTACCAAGCAATGACAATGAAAAACAAAATAAATATATTAAAAACAATGATTCCCAAACTACTAATATTACGATAGGTAAACATTTTAATAACACAATCAACGATAATTTAAAAAATTAAATCGCACTAATCGCTGGCTCATTCATGAAAACGAAAGACGTACCCGGAGACGGTGATTGTGGTGCCCACCCACTACGAATATGCTTAAAACAACATGGTATAATATATAGAAAGACGGTGGAATTATTAAATATGCTCGGCATTCCTAATTGCAAATCTGGCTACTATATTAAAGATGACGATCTACCATTTATCTGTGACCAATTAAATTTGAATTTATATTGAATACACAAAGATTCCGAACATACAAATGCCATAATATACTTTAAATTAAACAGGAAAAATATAGGGATATTCAATAAATATTGTCATTCAACACCAGGAATCATTACAAAAACATATAGACCACGTAAATTCAATAACATAATAATAAACAGAGTTTTTCCGGACTTTTATACTGTAGAAAAATTTAGACCATTTCTTACATGAATGTTTCGATCGTTTAAAATTATCACAACAAAACCATATAGAAAAAAATAAAACTGACAAATCAACAATATGGTACTCACAAATTTGCCAAGACTACGAATATTTGTCCACGTATAAGGATATACTAGACGACCATGATGACAAAGAACAGTATTGGAGTGAGGGAGAAAACGTTATGTTTTGTGAAATATGCGAAAACTACATAAGAGAATATCGGAACCAGCCTATACAAGAAGACGAGAAAGCCATAGAAACCAAAAACCAGTTAATTCAACACAAAAAAAAAAAATTAAAATCAACATTCAAAATATAAGCATAGATTCAGATACGGATCGGAAACAAAGAGCGCTCTCCATAAAAATAAAACTAGACGGCAACGAAAAAAATTCAATAATAGACAAAGGCTCAAATCTATCATGTATAGATTATTCCCTAGTAAAAAATAAACAAGAAGTTAAACTTAAAGAACAAATAACAATAACAGTTTCTGATAATGAACAAATACAAATAGGAACAACTGAGTTAATAATTACAATCAACACACTCCAATATCAAATCAAAGTATACGTCATTGAAGGACTAAATTGTGAGCTACTATTAGGAGACAATTTTTATATTAAATAACAAATAATAATCAATTTCAAGAATAAAATCATACAGATCAAAAATAATTCTATGAAAAAGGATGAAATATGGTACGAACATAATAAAAATCACAATAAAAATAAAATCTAATGACAATATTACTATTGCACCAGAATCAAAGTCAAAATTAAAAATATACGCAACAAGCAAAGATATACTAACACAGTATAAAATAAATCCTACAGACCGCTTATGCAACCTAACCTATTATTTTTCAATTTTTTGTTTAATACCATAGAATTGCATATAATATGTCTTATACCTAGACTGACATACCGTCTCCACTCAGAATCGTTTTTCTTATACAATGATATTATATCGTTGAATTCAAATTTAATATCATCCATTATACAGTGACCCACTTGTAACCTACTGTATAGCAGAGCGACACCCACTTGCCCACCTTTTTTTTTAGTTAATGTTTACAAAACTGATAAAATACAATATAGTAGTAACGGGCTTACAAAATATTTATCGTTATAAAAAATATAAAATTATTTTATGTATTACTATAAAATAATTATAAAAATTTAATTTCTATATATCTATTAGGTATAAACTTTCATAACTCGTTACACTTATATTTTTGTATTATATTTTTGTATTATTTACCAATTAACTGCGAATAAATTAGACCATGCATTGTTAAACTTTGCTTGAATCCATCAACAATTATGTCTGTTGATGGAGCATTCCAATTTTTATAACATAAATGATTGATTTCATTTTTTTTGATGCGTTGCACACACAAAAATATTTATTTCGGACTCCTATATACAATATTTTTTTGGTTCTTGCTCCAACAATACAAGCCTGTAAATTCAATTTTACGCAATTATTTTGATAATAAATAAAGTTAGACTTATATTAATTTAAAATACGATTAATACGTCATGCTAAACTATTTGAAATTATATTTCGTTCTGAATTACTTTTTACGCATTTAATTCGTAATCCTAAACTATTATTATTTAATAATAAAGAACGGGCTTTATTATAATTAGTATTTATGTATGACATTTTGTTGTCGCACTTTTAGGTATGCATAGAGTTAATATTTTTTTCTGAATTTTATACGAATTAATTAAAATTTAAAAATAAATGAAACATTTTATAACATAATTTGAATTTTGTTTACAATTAAGTATATTTCTTATTAGGTATTATACTCATAAATTAATTCTTAAACTTACTACTCCCGACAATGCATTGTAATTAGTTCTGTAAGAACGCTTGCTCCATGCCCCCATCTGCAATCACTGCAATTTTCGGACGACCTTTTAGAGCTAAATCACCGTTTTCGATCGTTAATCTTTTTTCTTCTTGCTCCGCTCAGAATCTAAAAATGAATTAACTGATATTATTAGAGCATGTTCATCATCTCAGGAGTTATATCAATATTTAATTACTCAAATATAAAATACAAATACAAATATCACCATATATTTTGAATTAATATTTAGAATTTTCAGTATGATTATAATATCATCCAATAGTTAATTAATACAATAGATTTGTAATATATTTTATACTTACTTTTTTAAATCTATTTAGGGAGTTAATGTTTCCTTTGTTCTTCTTTCTTTTGAATAAAAGGGTTTTAGTTTTTTTTCCATAACACCAGTCTTTTTTACTGTCCATAGTATCGAAGATGTCAAATATTTATTCCACAAAAAAAATCTCTCACTAAGGACTGCGCATTAGTTTCAAACAACAGCAGACGTCTGACTAATCGAAATTCGAAATTCGAAAATCAAAATTAGAATATTACTTTTACTCCCCGTAGAATAATAAGTACCAACGACCGGTGGCGGACCGAAACAGTTGAGCCAGACGATAATTTATTAATTAGGTATTATTATTTGTGCCCACCGCAGCACGTTTTCTTATCTTACATTATATTCCAGGAATATGATGGCAGTTTATTTTCAATTAGTACCTATCTCCAAATTCGCCGAGCCGATACATTTCCGCACTCACAGGCACATGTCAATGCTATAGATTTTGTCAAATAAACACCAGAATATTTAAATGACAAAAATGCCAAAAAGCTAGACTAAATTGTGAGAGTTGAATTAGACGGGTTTTTATTTTGAAAATGGATATTAATTAGTCATTATGTTAGTTAGGGAATGGTCGAGGGGATTTTCTTTATAAAAATTCTTCGATAAAATATTGACAATTTAAAAAATTAAGAATTTTTTTATTTTATATATTTAAGTACGCCATTATTTTTTGTAATAATGATACATTTCCAAGGCCATACTTTAGAAGAGTTGTTGAAGATTTTCAATTGGTTTTCAAAATTAAAATCCGTCAAACCCAAGTCCCACAGTTTTGTCTAGCTTTTGGCCTGTTTTAAGTGATAATTTGTAACTGCTCCAGCCCCCTTAAAGATAAAGTTCTGAAAATCTTCATTACGCTTCAAACCAATGAGAAACTAACAAAGCCCCAAACAATGAAATCCGCTGTCTGGTTTGGAGATCTATCTCACTAAATGAAAATGAAATAGATTTTTTGTAGGGCTGTTCACACCGACATTTTTCTGGATTCAAATTGTTATACCACTTGGATGTGATATCAGTTAATAAATTCTAAAAGTTTAAAATCGAGAAAGTTTGCATGGCGATCCCTGACTTGACAAGCGTATTTTTTAAAAGCATTCAAAGTTCGAATTTTTACAAAATGTATCAAATTTAAAATTTAATACTTGTTTTGTAGTTAAAAATGTATAAAATGTTCAAACGGTTCCACGTAAATAGGTTATATATACATACCACTTTATTCACAATAATATTTTCATATGTACTTATTAATATAAATAAGTACTATAGGCCGACTGACCGTCTTCTCTCAGAATCGTTTTTCTTATAATAAAATGATATTATATCATTGAGTTTAAATTTAATACCATCCATTATACATTGAACCACTTGTAATCTACTGTACAGCAGAGTGACACACACTTGCCCACCTTTTTTATTTTAATAATATTATACTACACAACTACTCTGCTTAATTTATTTAAATAAATTTTATATGTACATTGTATAGGTACATATTATTTATGAACGCGTTTGAACCGCAAAGCCTTGGAGAATGGTTGGACATGGTTATGCCCAAAGAAGAGTTTCTTAATATAGTATTATACACGAACACGTAAATGATAGAAAAATGGGAACTAGGGGTCCACAAAACTCTTATACAGTCCAATTTAAAAATTATGCAAGAGGCACAACTTTTAAGGACCTAAAGGAAAAGGTGAAACTATACAATTGGAGTCGTAGACCAATACCTATACCGGCTGAGAAATTTACACATAAATGAAAAGTTTGATACATAATTATTAAATTATATATTTATATATATATAGATAGAAGGGTACTTTAACAGGAATTTATTTTTGTAAAGCAAGCACGTGTCCGTCGATTGGTTTTACTCGGTTTATTCGATTCATTCTTGGCTATTGGACTCTTATGTTAAGATTCAGACAATTCAAAGTTCTCGTTCAAATCCGTAGAGATATAACGAATGCTTAGGTCAGCCAACCGATTACTTACACAAGACTTGATAAGATATTTTAACGTTTCATTGCTCCACATATCACTGAAAGTCTTCAACATATGTTTTGGACAATTGTGTTCACTGAGGATCGTTGTGAAATGTTTTAAGGCGTACTTATAAACGTTTTCAAATGTTTGCAACCAGGATGTTTCGCTTAGACAATGTTTGACTAGGACATAATATAAACATGACATTTGATATCGTTTTATACCGCTAAATGTTGATAGAATGAACAAAATCAAATTATAACCTATAAGCGCATAACAAGTGTAGGTGTAGGTAATATAAATAGTATATTATTCATTTAATTAGTGAAAGTTCGATAAAACCATTATACGCCTTCCTATTTTATAGAGTACCTATAGACCATCTTAATGTTAAATTGTTTTTTTATTGAAATTAAAAAATTTTATTGCACAACTTTTTAATATATTATAGGTATGTCGAACAAGAATTGAATGTTGTGATATTTATGAAAAAATACATGGTCCAATGAATGAATGAAGAAAAAATGATGAAATTAATAGAATTTAATGTGTAACATTTAGTTTTTAATTTTTTCTATTGTATGTATACTTCTTATATATATACGATAAAACTATATATAAGCTCTAATAATTACATTTAACTTTACTATAAATATGGTTAAACGAGACGAAATATAAAATTGGAAAAATATCCAATAATAATAGATATTTAAAAAAATTCATTCATTCTAAAAATAAAAGCTTATCATCACATTGGCTGATAAATTTTGTTTGGTTTATGGACATTTATTAAAAATGAAATAAAAATATTATTTCTCAACACTTGAAAAATTCCATGAAAACCTATCGATAAAATACTCGTAAGCTTATGACGTATAGCTGGGAGCCATTTTTTCCCCATTGACGTCATACATTTGACATTCAACACTTGGGAATGGGTTGCCGGTGAATTTATTGATGGCCTCTGGCTGCTAAGCCAACAAATCATATATCCAATTAAACAAGACTACGATATCTGAATTTTCGGCCAAAGAGTAAAAACATGTTTCCTCTTCATAAGGAGCGTAACACACTAGCGACCACCTAGCGTTCCTTATCACGGAATTGTGAACATGTTGAAAAGTCTGTAGTTCGTAAATGTCTTCAATGTGAGGAAACATAAACAAAATGTTGTAATCAATCGTGCCATCGTATCCTCTGAAAACAGAAAATAAAACCACACAATTAGAGTGGCACAAAACAGACCTCAAATGATTTGAAATATTGGTTTACAGTAAAAAACTAAAAACTGCAAACCATGGCGACCATGGCGATTTCATATGAATGTAGTTCTTTGTTAGAGGCAACTTGTTTATAAGCTTTCATCAGACCGTCCACCACTTTTGTTCCGTCACTAAATTTTAGGCACCACGTGCGGACCGTTGTCAGTGCGTTCGTAGGGTCTGGTATGGTTCGTTTCCGAAAACATATCTATAATTTATAACGCATTTATCTTGTCACATTTGTTAGGTATCAGGAAACAAAAAATTGAAAGTTTCAATATCATTATTATATTATTATTATATTTTGGCATTTACCGAACACCATGACCTCCAATAAAAGTATAAAACCTATTTATATACGGCTATACCTCGGTATCGCACTGAATATTTAAAATCGTAGTAACCAATTATTGGAATCGATGATATCCCTTTTTATATAGAGCAAACAAATTATTTATTTAGTACAACCCAAACAATTAATTATGTTTAATAATAAAACCAACAATCATTATATTATTATCATGATCATAATACGAGAAATGTAACAGTTCAAAATCAAGTAAAAGTATATTTTAATTTACGGATACGAATCATAAACTTAGTTTTAAAACAGTGCCTATACTAGTGCCAATTATTATTATTGTCTTCAATAACCCGAATAATACATTTGGGCATCCAGTTCTATATCACAGTATTACAGTAACTATACTTATGTAAGATTCTGAATGAATGGAATATAGGTACCTATGTGCGCCCATATAGGTAAATTGGATTAAAAATATCTCAAAATGAAAGCTAAATAAAAGCTTATTATTTTAACATATAATTAATATTAATGCAATGATTATACTATGCATTTATAATAATTAAATGTTTTATTGTTACATAGGTAGGTGTATCACTAAATGTTTTTTAATAAGTACCATTAAAAAAGATATTAAATGAAATAGGTACGATAGAGATATAATCAAATTTCATATTCATATTCAGTATTGGTTTGCAATAATTGTAAATTGTTCGTTTTATTCCAAGTTTCATATAATGTTGAAACTTGGATGTCAATAATATTTAAATCCCGAATGAAACTATTCTTGTACAAGAACATTATTTTGCGATGTCCATTCATTTATAAACTTATATTCATTTATAAAATTTTTTCCAAGGGGAAAGTGCCCTGTTTTGTCCCCATTTTCACCTAACTATTTTCCTGAAAGATCATTTCACAAGTCACATCCCAAATTAATTTTCTTTCTTTGAAAATGTTATTATTAGGTAAGTGTATTATAATACGTGGAATAACATTAGGTAATTATGTAATGTTTATAGATAAAAAAGGCTTTTTTATGCAATATAAATCTCTGCAACATTGTATATTATGTTATGATTATTATTGTATTAAATTTAAATAATTTTTTTTTAAATTTATCAATAATGATCCAAAATTATCTATAAATAAAAGACTAAAGTACCGAAGTCATATAAAATATACTATACAATATGGACACTAAATAATATATACATACCTATAATACATCTGTTACCTATATTTATTACTATAACTTATAAGTTATAACATTTAAAGACAATTAACTCGTGGTTTTTGTTTTCGTGAAATGGTTTGTCCGGAAAACGGATTCGGGATTTTGGTTTTTGTGAAATGATCGTTCAATATACTACAGTAGTACATGTTATTGTGTAGTATTGTTTAACCCTTTAATAACTACTGATCTATCAATATAATCAATGTAAATAATTTGTAAAAATTATCCAAGTATAATTAATAATATATCTAATATTACATCATATCGGTAGCTTATATGTTTTTAAAACCATATTTAAGGATTTCTTATAACAAACATTTTAATAACTCAGAAACTACTTATTAGAAATTTTAAATAGATAAATTAACATTTTCAAGAAAATTACACGATAAAAATATGCTGTAAAAAAGGCGGTTCTCATTTGAATAATAGCTGTTTTTCACCACAGGATACTCTTTAAGTATAGTACAACAAATTTCACCAATATAAAAATATATGATTTTTAAATATACATAACAATTCTAAAAACTAGAATTTTAATAAATTTAATATAAAGCATTTGGGAAATGATAATATTTTGTGAATGTATTAAAGTGGTTGAATAATGAATATTTGACTAATAATATTTTTTAAATGTTTTCTTCTTATAATAAAAAAATATTATACTATATGATTGCATAAAAATGTTGACTTAATATTTTTATAAAGTTTCCGTAAAAATGCTCTTTTTAAATAATATATGATTAAAATATTTTGTAAATGTTTTTTATAAAATATTCTCAAATATATGAACTTTTGGGCCAAAGAATATAACTAAGATAATTCTTTATTATTTACGCAACTTTTTAAAATATTTTGACAACTATATTATTTTCCTGAAAATATTATTACCATAGTTAGGAAATATTTTTATACTGTAAGGGATTAAGGGGAAAAACGGCGATGAGCATGTTTAAAAAATCACCCCGTAATCTATATAACATTTTTAGAGATCACCCCGTATATAGATGTGTATAAAAAAAACGAGAATAACGTCTTTAAAAGGTTAGTTTTTTAAAGTATAAAATTATTGTCTAAATAAATAGCTGGTAAATTTGGAAGGGCTCGAGCACAGATGAAAGTTCTTCGCCAGGATTCGATATTCAAAATCGCCTTGCTATTTTTATTTCCGGTCATTACTCCCAGTCCGGCACTTTATCGGCGGCTGTGTAATACGGATTTGCTGCGCGTTTCATCCGGCCGCCAATCGTGTACTGTGGGGCGTTTGCAAAGGGCGACGCTGGGCCAGGAGGAGGAAAATAGGCGTTGGGTGCCGGTGTCCGTTTGCCCCGCATATTTTCTTCAAACCGGCCGAGTATCACGGGCCTGGGCGTCTGCATCTTGAACCGTTCCAAGTTCACTGCCGAATATCGTGCCGGACCCGGGGACGAATAACACGCCGCCGTGCCCCGTCTGCGGCCAACGCCACGTCCCGGTTCCGGATGCCGTCCCAACATCGAATATACCGGCGCGGACGGCATGTTGGGTGCCAGGTTCCCAATTGTGGTGGCCAAGGCGTAGGCGTTCGGCGCCGGCGTTCGTGATGATTTTTTCAATTCACCGCGTCTGATCCTACGGGTTTTTGAAAGATTTATAAACTGTACTCAGTAGATCATCAACAGCATCAATGGCCACTTAAATTTTACTTGTATAACATGAAAACTATGAAAAATTATAATTTATAATAACTAACACTAATACTCCCGGGTTTGAATGCCTTTCGGCTACAACCGTGGACCTTATATAAGCGCTGAGAGCTTTTCAAGAGCCACGGAGGTCTGCGGTCGACGTACGTCGGTATCACCCACCGGTCGCCAGAATGGACGACACATCGACGGTGGCCTCTTTCTTGTCTGCCGTATCACGGCCGTAACTCCGCCGAAGCGAAGATTCGGCCGCTCACCGGTTACGGTATCACCGGTTGTACTAGCGACATCCACCTACACGCACGAATCCGAGCCTATGACGACCAACATTTCTGCTGGTCGTGAAAGCCGCATTAGACAAGCGGAAGCCGGACATGGCTCGTCCGACGCCCTGGGCTAACTTGCCACCCGCGCTACCATTTTCATAATACGTCGTAATACCGACTTAAGGAGCTCTCGTGGGACACGCCACTAGAAACTGCAGTCTAAACACCCCTACCGGTCCTAGGAGGGAATTGGCTGAAGACTAACACTGATAATTAACAGAATCGTCTGCCACAGGGAAATTCACAAAAAAGTCTACCTTTTTAAAAATGCTTCAAGGGGAATTAGATCGACACTGTGTTGTACGGTGTGTACAGAGCCGTAGCAATGTTCATTAGCGCTCCTGGCCATTTATCATATTTCCGCCCTTGTAAAATTTTTTTAACCTCCCCCACACACACACACACACAAAAGACTTATGCATTTGTTAATTTTTTTTTAATAGTAAAAATTATAATATTAATAAAAAAAAACAATAGCAAAAACTGCCAAACTTATTAAAACCTTATAAAATAATCAAAAAAAAATTATTTTTTACATTTATAAATTTCACTTTTCGTGCTTTTTTGGTAGTATATAATTAAATTCCACTTTAGAAGGTTTATATTTTTTTTTATTAAGAATATACTAGTACAGTAGTACGTATACCACACATGCGTTTGTTGTCTCCGTATTACAAACCTACGACATGGCAAATTTTCGTTCACTAGTTTCAATAATGTACTGTTAGTTTTTATATCAGAGTGACTGGTGATGGTCAATTATTAATATTTACTATGGACCTATTATTAAACTTTTATTTTAGAACATTAGCTGTGCTTAAGCGTCGGCTTTTATTCGATATTTAAATTTCCAAGCAAGATATGATATATCACAAATTAAAAATTCTCTTATCCCGCATGAAAATTAAAATATGGAATAAAAGCAGATGCTTAAGCACAGATAATGTTCTTAACTAAACGTTTAATAACAGGTCAAAACACTCTAATATAAAAACTCACAGCACACTATTGTAACTAGTGAACGAATATTTGCTATATCGCTCCCATGTAAAACCGATAACAAAAGGATGGGTAACGTCCAGATATAATTTTAAAAAAATGAAATAAAATAAAATCGTTTAAAATGTAATTTAAGAAATAAATTTATATTTTCAATATGCTAAAATATTTTTTAGAAAAGAATATTTCTCAGACTCATTAAATTTATGTTTAATCATTAAACTGAATTAAAGATATTTTTTTATCGATATCACTATCAAGCTAGTTGTCCAAATTACTCTATAATAATAGTGATAAATATCTAACCAATTAGATTATCAAAAATAGTCAGTAGGATTAAAACAAGTAAAATAAAATAGATACTTGGCGTGAACTGTGAAGATAATTTTTAAGACAATATTAGACTAATATTAATTATTATTTCTTTTTCTTAACTCAAAATAAGATTTAGAGGATTTTGATTCAAATTTGATCGATAAAAATCAACAAATATTAATAGTGATTTC